ACTATGGCCGACTGCCTGCCTTGTACTTTGCGCTGTACAGTCATGGTAGCCCTCACGATAATCCCATAAGGTGGGACCATCCCACGGCAAAAGATGAGGAAATTGAAGTTGAGAAAGGTTAGGCAACTGGCCAGAGGTCACACAGTTAACTGCAAGTGGCAGAGGTGGAGTTTAAACCCAGTGTGTCTGGTCTCACAGTCTGGAGAGCTGTTAGTGACTTGGTAAGCACAGCAATAGAGTGTCTGGAAAGATCACTGAGTGTGGAATAGGTGGAAGGTGCTCCCTTTGCTCAAGAAGGAGCTGAGTCCAAGTACAGCCTCACGTGGCTCCTCTGGCACATGTTCAAGTGCAAGGAAGGTGTAGATTACGTGAGTGTGAAGGGCTGGCAGTTTCCGAGGCACAAACAAGCCCGCACCTAGAGCAGGTCTGCCAGAAACAGATAGTGACTCTGGACACTTATTTTATCCCCTTCCGCTCCCCCGTGTGAAGAAACTGAATGTCTCATGAAGGCAACCGTCTCTGAAGGACAAAAAAAGACAAGAAAAGGGAGGGAAAAAGACGATTTAAGCACAGCATCACCAGTCCTTTTGGACTATAGAGGAAGAACACTGAATTTGTTGGATCCGGGATGGGACTTCTGTGGCCTTTGTATCAGGCTTTTTGCAATTTGGCTTTGCATTTTCTCTCACTGAAGAGACAACATCTATTTCTCTGCCCTTGAATCTGAGCTAAGCTGTGACTTCTTTTGGCAAGAAGAATGCAAATAGTAACAGTGCACATTGTGAAGTCTAGGCCTCCAGAGGTTTTGCATGCTTCTGTCACTCTTTCAAAATCTTGCTCAGCCACCATGACAACAAACCTCAGCCTGCTGAATGATGAGAGAGGTGAGGTCCAGCCACCCAGCCATCACCAGATATGTGAATGAGGTCATCTTACTTTGGCATTCAGCCAGCCCCCTGCGCACCCACCAGCTGACCACAGAAGCATGAGTAAGCTCAGTTGAGTTAAGCTAAGCCTGGCTCAGAGCAGCAAAAATGCCCAGATGGTGGCATTGTGTGCATTAATAAATACTATTTTAAGGTCCTGAATTTTAGGGTGGCTTGTTTCATGGCATTAGCTCACTGATACATGTATGTTTTAAAGAGATCTGCTAGACGTAGCCCAGCAGGACTTACTAAGGAGGTGGCAGAACCAGCTCTCCTTCAAAATCAGGAGGTTTTGCATTAGAAGGGACATCACCGGGATCAGGAGTTAATGGTTCAGAGGGAGCATGCAGTGTTCTAGACAAGAATTTACTCCATCTGGCCTCCCCAGAAAAGATTAGTGGTTTTTCCAGTAACAGCCCAGGCCAATTAAGGAGAATCTCTGAGAAAAATCACTATGTGGGAATTGGTGGAGACGGGAGAGAGGACCTGCAGAAAGTGGGGCTTAACAGCTCGCTCCCTGGTTAGATGCTTGTTAAACTGCAGATCTTATATGTATAGTCCATACATAAGACATAGTCTCTTACTCTGTGCATCCTTCTGCAACTTGCTTTCTTCATTCAGTAGTGTTTTCAAGATGTATCCGTGATATACATGTAGATTCTTTTTTAATTTCAAAAGATATGTAATGAATATACCACTATTAATTTCTTTTTTCTCTGGTTGGTGGATATTTATGTTGTTTCCAATTTTTTGCCATTAAAACAATCCTTAGGCAATAGCAGCCATTCTCTCAGGTATGCTCAGAGAAGTGGAACTCTGGGCCAGACGGTGTGTATCCTCAAACGCAATAGGTCTTTTCAAGTTGTGTTTCAAACTATTGTTCACACTTCAACCAGAACATTTTATGTCAGAGCTTTCATTGCCTTGTATATTCACCAACACCTAATTTTTGTTTTTGCCAATTTTATGTAAATAAAATGGCATAATTTATTTTGCATTTCCCCAATTACTATGGAGGTTGAACAATGTTTTATGTGTTTACATGCCATTTGGGTTTTTCTACTGTTCATATGTTCAATTGCTTTATTTGGGTTTTTCTCATTGATTTCTAGGTGTTTGATGTGTATGGTTAATATTGATCCTTTGTCGGCTTTGGAAGGAACAAATGTCTTCTACCAATCTATGTGTGAGGTTTTAGTTTATTTGTAGTATGTAGTTGAACAGGAGTTCTTGCTTTTTAATGTAGACAACTATTAATCTTTTCTTTTATGGTTTGTGCTGTTTTATTTCTACAAGAAATCTTTTCTTAACTCTTAGGCCATAAAAGTTCACTCCTATACTGTCTTCTAAAGATTTCAAAATTTTCCCTTATACTATTAGTTCTTTTATATATCTAGAATTTGTGTTTGTGTCTGATATAATATAGAATCTCATTTTTGTATAAGATAGTCAATCCTTCCAACACTATTTTTTAAATTGTGCATTCTCTCTCACATGTTAAGTTTCAATATGCATGTGGATTTGTTTCTAGATGGAAAGCTGTTTCATTGTTTTAGTATTTTTTTCCTAGACCTGGGTCAAATTCACACTCTTATCTCTATTATAAATCCTAATATCTGATAGGGCAGGTTCCCTCTTTTTTTCCCCTATTTAAAAAAATTGCTTTCCTACTTTTTCAAATTGCTTGATCCTTACAACTTTCCTACGAATTTTAGAATGGTATGTGAAGTTCCTTGAACACCGTTAATGGATTTTTATTACAATATCGAGCCAGCCCTGATGGCCTAGTGGTTAAAGTTTGGCATGCTCCATGTCAGCAGCCCTGGCTCGGTTCCCAGTCACAGAACCACACCACTCCTCTGTCAGTTGCCATGCTGTGGTGGTGGGTCACACAGAAGAACTAGAAGGCCCTACATCTAGAATATACAACTATGTTCTGGGTCTTTGGGGAGAAAACAAAAAGAGGAAGAATGCCAACAGATGTTAGCTCAGGGTGAATCTTTCCCAGCAACAACAACAAAATCTCCTTGGATTTATAGTTTGAATTGTTAGGAATGGTCATCTTTAAGATATTAAATATCCTAGTCTATGAATATGCTATCAGTCAGGAGTAAGTGCAGAAAACAAGAACTCTTTAGGTATTTTAAGCAGAAAGGAATTTGTGCAGAGAATTAATTGCTAGCTAGGTTCCTGGAATAAGCGTGTATTTCTTTTGTTTTGTTTTTTAGTTTTCAAATCTATTGGGAGCAAATGTTGGCTATCTTTGTTTCCTTTTTGGTTGTTTTGCATTGCGTATCTTTTCTTTATTTTCAGCTACGCTATAGATTTAAGACTATCTTTGGTATATTTTCTCCAGCATTTCTATGTTTGAGGCCAGAGCTTCAGCTGTCATGCTGCTGGAAGTTCCTCTAGAGAGTGTCTCTCACAAAGGAAACAGGCAGGCCTATTACAATCGGCAGGTGCTGAGCGAGAACACGCCTTTCTAGACCTCATTCCAAGCCTTTTCTAGACCTCTGAGATTGCACAAAATAACTATTTCCTAATATGATCCTTTCTTCATTAACTGTAGTAAAGTAAACATGGGTGTAAATCTCAACATACCCAAATATATGTATTTACCTTCTGAATTTAGTAGGTAAACACTTTTAAACACATGTAATAAATATAATTTAAATTTCCCGCTTCATATCTTATATCTTGCATAACGCCATTTATACTCTTATCTTCATTAATCTATTGCCATATAGTGATAAAGGTGTAGCTTCATCAAAGCACACTTTCATAATGGGATTCCTTGAAGATATTGGAAAATACTTCATAACTAATGGTATTTGATGAAATTGCTTTTTTAAGCAATTGAATTTTAGTTTAAATATAATATAGTTGTTATAAAGAAGAGAGAACTTAAAGGGCATTATAAAAACATTAGGAAAGTATGTCTCTGATCTCTTGTGCATTTAGTCCAGGGAAAAACCACCTCCCTCCTCCCATCCTCACAAAACAAGACCGAACCAGCATTCGATTGGATAAAGATGTAACTTCTCTATGCTGCCATGTCTGATCTTATTTCTCTTCTTGGAAATTGGCAGAAACATAGAGTTTGCCATCAATGTCAGGGCTTTCTTTCAAGTACAGAAGGAGAAACATTTCAACATAGTGATGTAAAACAAGTGGAAATTTTTAGTGAACGTTTACTTTGATAGGCATTGCGCAAACATGTTCCATGTTCATTTTAGGTAGTCACCTCCTCCATTCTAACTGGTGGCACAATTCTTAACCATTTTACAGATCAGGAAACAGGGGTTTCTAGAGTTTATTGGCATCCATGTGCTGATACATTGTTTTGAAGTTTACACTACCTACATTATTCAAAGCCAAGTACAGTCTGCTGGTAGGAAATACAGTAATACCCAAGGGGCCTGAGGGAACAAAAAGATGCTTGACTTGCGCAAAGATCTAAATTATGCAAGCTGCAGAAATCCTGGGTGGAAACCGTGATATCTTTTAGATCATGTTTCACCCTCCAGGGTGGCAAATTACCTTGTAGATCCATTATGGGTCAGTTTCCTTAGCCATGTTTGTGCCAAGGACCCCCTTGGCCTTCTGGTGGATTCCACGGACCTCCTTCGCAGAATAATGTTTATAATGCATGAAGAACGAATAGAAATTATATTGAAATATGCCCCTGAGGATTTCAAGCATTTCTGTCCATCTCACCTCCCAGGTCTACCAAAGCACTCAGAGACCATCTTTACTTTCTTCAGAGAAGGGAATAAAGACACCCAGTACACGGGTGGGGAGGAGCAGGAGATGGGCAACTGAGGTGTTTCTGAGAACACATTAGCGTCTTCCTTTTCCCTTCCGTCTGAAAGCCTCCCCACTTCTCTAGCCTCTCCATCTTCTCCCAGATGGAGTCCAATTTTTCACTAGTTTTATTTCTTTTCCATCCACCCTCCGTCTTGCTCAGCCCCGCCCACTTTTCTAGACCCGCCCCTCCCTGGCTCCGCCTCCCTCTAGGCTCCTCCTTCCCTATAAGTCATGCCATCTCCCCTATCACTCCTCTGTTCCCTGCCAGTCACGCTGGCCCCTCTGGCCTGGGACAGGAACCGGTACTGAGACTGTTGGCAGACTTGCCTGCTGGCCGAGGAGCCGGGGCTGCAGGAGGATGGCCAGGGCGGCCGGCGGATTCCGGGAGGAACAGTTCTGGGAGGCCTGCGCCGAGCTCAAGCAGCCCAAGCTCGCCGGCGCCAACTGGGAGCTGCTGATGGAGGCAATGGGCATTTGTGTCTACCGGCTGTGGGACCAGGTAGCGGCCTGCCCACTGGAGGAGCGCCAGCCTCTAGCTGGGAGTGTCAGGCCTGGGGCGGGGCTTCTGGAGCTGGGAGGAGTGAGCACAGGGGCGATGCCTCCCGCTGACTTAGCCCTGGACAGATTGTGGGGGTGGGAGGTCATCAGAATTCAGCCAGTGGTTTCTCAGAAGTTAATGATGTAGTTAAAAAGTGGGTCTGCTGATTCTTCTCCCCAGGCACTTGCCTGTGGGAGACCTGGATCCCCCTCCCGGGGGGGTGCCAATGGTGTGTGAGTGAGTGCGGGGGGAGTATCCTTGGGTGTGAATATAGGTGGGAAAGAGGCTGGACTTCTCAGAGACTGGATGAACAGGGTGGCTAGTGTGTGTGGGCAGGTGTGTTGCGAGAGGGACTTGCTATCATCTCTAGTCATCTTAGTGACTGGCTGCTTTGGGCTGCTGCCCCTTCCTTGTAAGCTGCGCTTGATAACTTGAGTCCGAAGCTTTAGGGAGAAAGCAGAGGAGGAATGGAGTTGGTTATTAAGCAAGACCCGGGGTGTTCTTGGAGGCCTTTGGAACCGGGTAGCCATCTAGGTGGAAGGGTTGCATTGCCCCTGAACCCTGTCATCAGTTGCTCTGTGTGGTAGTAGTTGTATGGCAAATAGGTTAAAAGTGACCTTTAGGCGAGGTAAGTGCAGTTGAGGTTTCCTGGCAGAGGACCAGAGTATTACAGGGTTAGAGCAGGGAGGAGCTCTGAATGTCCAGGGCCATTGGGTATCACAAGATGAACAAGAGGCTCACGGTGTGGAGCAGGCAGAATTAATTTCCTGGTGTAATTGCAACAGTTACCTTGGTGCAAAAATGCACTTGTTTTCAGACAAAATCCTTTTATCTTCTCTCTGACCATTTCATTTTCCTTATCTGCCGCCTCCAGGCGCTTGCCCAGACCTCATAGCTAATAATTAGACATGAACCAGTCTACTACATTGATAAACTCAATACTGAATATACAGCTTGGTTCAGGGCAGAACTACATGCTTTTTCTGGAGGCTCAGCAAAACTAGTCCAGAGTTGCCATGCGGTATTGTGGGAAGAGCATGGGTTTTGGAGGCAACTAGTCTTGGGTTAAAATCTCAGCTCAGCACTGCTATCATTCATTTATTCCTTTAGGAAATATTGTTGAAGTGCCTCCCATGTGCTAATGCCCTCGCAGGAAATGGGATGAGCAGGGAACAGAGGATGGAGCTGCTGCCTCAGTGAGTGAGCTTCTTGAAGAAGGAACCATATTCACTGATGAGAATAAACCCATAGTGTACAAGAAAATGCCAGGTGAAAAAAAGAAAGTAAAGTGCAATAAAGGGACAGAGATGGTGTGGCAGGGATAGCCAGGGGTGATATGGTGTCTTTTAGATCAGGGAGTTTGGAAAGTCCCTCCATGGAGGTCACATGTGAGTGGAGATAGAAGTGAGGAGAGGTTGAGTCATGCGGGTATCTGGAGGAGAAATGCACCAGAGAGTGTTTCTCAAAGCTCAAGGATGTAAGCATCACCAAGCCCTACCCGAAGTCTCAGATTTAAGTGGTCTGTGGTGGAGATTAGATAGTCTTTTTTTTTTTTTCTTTTTTTTTCTTTTTTTTTTTTGAGGAAGATTAGCCCTGAACTAACATCTGCTGCCAATCCTCCTCTTTTTGTTGAGGAAGACTGGCCCTGAGCTAACATCCGTGCCCATCTTCCTCTACTTTATATGTGGGATGGCATGGCTTGATAAGCGGTGCCATATCCACACCCGGGATCAAAACCGGGAACCCCTGACCGCCGAAGCGGAACATGTGAACTTAATCGCTGTGCCACCGGGTCGTCCCCTGGATAGTCCTTTTGAAAAGCTCTCTTTTTATATAGAAGTTGACTGTTCTGTTCTCTACATTTGTGTATGTTTGAAGTGCTTCAACACAAAATGAGTTTTGTTGTTTGTTTGGCCTTGTAAGTCATTTATTTAGTTGTTTCAAAAAGTTTATTTGCTTATTTTATTGAGGTCATATTGGCTTATAACATTGTGTAATTTCAGGTGTACATTAATGTTTATCTGTTTCTCTACAGACTGTGTCATGCTCACCACCAATAGTCTAATTTTCATCCATTGCAGTATACATATGCCCAGTTACCTGTTTTGCCCAACCCTCGACCCCTTCCCTTCTGATAACCACTAATTTGTTCTCTTTGTCCATGTGTTTATCTTCCACATATGAGTGATTTCATAGGGTGTTTGTCTTTCTCTGTCTGGTTTTTTTCACTCAGCATAATACCCTCAAGATCCATTCATGTTGTTGCAAATGGCACAATTTTGTCTTTTTTATGGCTGAATAGTATCCCATTGTATATCTATCTACCTATCTATCTATCTATCTATCCATCCCACATCTTCTTTATCCAATCATCAGTCAATGGGCACTTGGGTTGCTTCCACATCTTGGTTATTGTGAGTAATGCTGTGATGAACATAGGAATGCATAAATCTCTTTCAGTTATTGATTTCATGTTCTTTGGATAAATACCCAGTAGTGAGATAGGTGGATCATTTGGTATTTCTATTTTTAATTTTTTGAGAAATCTCCATACTGTTTTCCATAGTGGCAGCACCAGTTTGCATTCCCACTAGTGGTTTACGGGAGTTCCCTTTTCTCCACATCTTCTGCAACATTTGGTACTTTTTGTCTTGTTAATTATGGACATTCTGATAGGCGTGAGGTGATATCTCATTGTAGGTTTGATTTGCATTTCCCTAATAATTAGTGATGTTGAACATCTTTTCATGTGCCTGTTGGCCATCTGTATATCTTCTTTGGAAAAATGTCTGTTCATATCCTCTGGCCATTTTTTGGTCTGTTGTTTGTTTTTTTGATGTTGTTGAGTTATATGAGTTCTTTATATGTTTTGGAAATTAACCCCTTGTCCGATAAATGATTTGTGAATATTTTCTCCCAGTTGGTAGGTTCTCTTTTCATTTTGTTCATGATTTCCTTTGCCTTGCAGATATAATCCCTGATGTAATCCCATTTGTTTATTTTTTCTTTTGTTTCCCTTGCCCAAGTAGACATGGCATTCGAAAAGATCCTGCTAAGACTGCTGTCAAAGAGTGTACTGCCTATAATTTCTTCTAGGAGTTTTAGGGTTTCAGGTCTTACATTCAAGTCTTTAATCCATTTTGAGTAAATTTTTGTGTAAGGTGTAAGGTAATGGCCTACTTTCATTCCATGGCACATGCCTGTCCAGTTTCCCCAACACCATTTCTTGAAGAGACTTTCCTTTCTTCATTGTATGTTGACTCCTTTGTCGAAGATTAGCTGTCCATAGTTGTGTGGTTTTATTTCTGGGCTTTCAGTTCTGTTCCATTGATCTGTGTGTCTATACTTCTGCCAGTACCATGCTGTTTTGATTATGGTAGCTTTGTAGTATATTTTGAAGTCAGGGATTGTGATGCCTCCGGCTGTGTTCTTTTTTCTCAGGAATGCTTTGGCTATTCGGAGTCTTCTGTTGTTCCATATAAATTTTAGGATTCTTTGTGCTAGAAAACTTCTGTGAAAACTGTCATGGGGATTCTAATTGAGGTTGCATTGAATCTGTCGATTGCTTTAGGCAATATGGACATTTTAACTATATTTATTCTTCCAATCCGTGAGCATGGAATATCTTTCCATTTCTTTATGTTTTCTTATATTTCTTTCAATAATGTCTTATAGTTTTTGATGTATAGGTTTTCACCACCTTGGTTAAATTTATTCCTAGATATTTTACTCTTATTGTTGAGAATATGTTGTTGTTGTAAATGGGACTGTATTCTTGACTTCTTTTTCTGCTGGTTCATTATTAGTTCATAGAAATACAACTGATTTTTGTATGTTGATTTTGTACCTTGCAACTTTGCTGTAGTTGTCGATTATTTCTAATAGTTTCCTGGTGGATTCTTTAGGATTTTCTACATATGGAATCATGTCATCTGCAAACAGTGAGAATTTTACTTCTTCATTTCCAGTTTGGATCCCTTTTATTTCTTATTCTTGACTAATTGTTTTGGTAAAACTTCCAGTACTACATTGAATAAAAGTGGCGAGAGTGGGAACAAGAGTTGTCTTCTTTCTGTCCTCAGAGGAATGGCTTTCAGTTTTTCACCATTGAATATGACATGGCTGTGGGTTTGTCATATATGGCCTTTATTATGTCGAGGTACTTTCCTTCTATCCACGTTTTATCGAGAGTTTTTTTTTTTATATCATAAATGGAGGTTGGATCTTGTCAAATGCTTTCTCTGCATCTGCTGAGATGATTATGTGGTTTTTATTCCTCATTTTGTTAATGTGGTGCATCACATTGATTGATTTGTGGATGTTGAACCTTCCCTGCATCCCTGGTATGAATCCCACTTCATCATGGTGTATGATCCTTTTAATGTATTGCTGTATTTTATTTGCCAATGTTTTTGCATCTATGTTCATCAGCGATATTGGCCTGTAATTTTCCTTCTTTGGGTTGTCCTTCTCTGGTTTTGGTATTAGGGTAATTTTGGCCTCATAGAATGAGTTAGGAAGCATTCTGTCTTCTTCAACTTTTGGTAGAATTTGAGAAGGATATGTATTAACTCTTCTTTGAATGATTGGTTGAATTCTCTAGAGAAGCCATCTGGTCCTGGAATTTGGTCTTTTTGGGGGATTTTGATTGCTATTTCTCTCTCTTTACTTGTGATAGGTCTATTCACGTTCTCTATTAGTCTTGATTCAGTTTTGGGAGGTTGTATGAGTCTAAGAATTTCTGTATTTCTTCTAGGTTATCCAATTTGTTGGCACATAATTTTTCATAGTATTCTCTTGTAATCATTTGTGTTTCTGTGAATCTATTGTAATTTCTTCTCTTCCATTTTTAAATTTATTTATTTGAATTTTCTCTCTTTTTTTCTTAGTGAGGTTGGCTAAAGGTTTGTTAATTTTGTTTATCTTCTAAAAGAATCAGGTCTTAGTCTCATTGATCCTTT